TTCTTTACTGTTTTCTTTAATTTAATAAACTACTAACACATTTATTCATTGTCATTGATTTTATATGACTTTTACTGATAACATAATGCAATATAGCCAGGACAGCCTTACAGAGTCGCAACGCTTTGTGTTGCGTTGCTTCGCATCGCGTTGAGATCTGTATGATCACAAAATTCAGAGTTTACCCACCTCTAATTTTACCACTACAGCACTGGTCCCCATGGAATACCTGTGGATATCGTTTTCGATAGAGGCCCACAATGTTTTTTAAGTGTTTGTAGGACATACTGTTCTGCCCTTGGTGCCCAATCTAATGGTCCTCACGACCTGGAAGCATCCCTCAGTTGTGTGGCCGCTCAGCATCCCTCCTCCTGGGCCAAACACCTCCCTTGGATTGAGTACGCTCAAAACTCGCTGACCACCTCTGCTACCGGCCTCTCTCCCTTCGAAGTAGCTCCGGGATACCAACCCCCGCTGTTTCCCACCCAGGAGAAGGAACTGGCTATGCCCTCTGTGCAGGAACATCTTCGCCGCTGTCACCGGGTTTGGAGCGATGCTGTCCTGCTTCGGACCACGCAATAAGGAGACTGCGGATAGACATAGAACCCCTGCTCCTCCTCCGAGGCCCTGGTATCTGGGACCATTTGTCATTGAGTCCATCGTGCACCCATCTGCTGTTCGGCTGAAGTTGCCTCCGATGAAGATTCACCCAACCTGTGTCACAACTTAAACTTAAACCCGTGTCCTCCAGTCCCCTTTGTCCCCCTCCTGAACCCCACCCCGGTGCGTTTGATCGATGACCACCCAGCCTACACGGTCCGTCAACTCTTGGACGTTCGAAGACGTGGTAGGAGATATCAATATCTGGATTGGGAGGGGTATGGACCCGAGGAAAGGATGTGGATCCCCAGGAGGCTCATTCTTGGTGACCAACTTCCATTTGGTCACCAAGAATACCGTCTACCTCCGTCCCTCCGCTTATCCTGCACATAGGGGGGGCTGGAGTCCATCCCAGCCAACTTCGGGCGATAGACGGGGTACATCCTGGATTGGTCGCCAGCCAATCGCAGGGCTAACACAGAGACACACAACCATTCTCACTCACATTCACACATCTACGGGCAATTTAGAGTCCCCAATCAACCTGATCCCCAGAACATGTCTTTGGACTGTGGGAGGAAGCCAGAGAACCCGGAGAGAACCCACGCAGACACGGGGAGAACATGCAGACTGCCCACCCCTTAACAGACTGGCTTGCGAGAGAAGGAGTTACTGTATGTATAATGAGGTCACCGTTGTAAGGAATCTGAGTGAAAAAACTGCTGGATGTGTTTGACCAGATGTGCCCATCACTTGGACAACTGCCCATCTGTAAGTCAAATATATTCAGTGTTCTATCATAAAGCACTAGAACGAGAAAAAAAGTCACGTTTGAGAAGCTGAAATCCGAGAATTTTCTTTAAAATGATTTAGTACAAGTGACAAGAAATCAATGATCAAATAGTTGGAAATTAATTAACAAATTAATTGACAAACCCACAACGCTCAACACTTGTTCCTAGATAAAAAAAATGCAAAGGAAACATTACTGCTCAACAAAAGGTCATCATTTGTTTAGTCTCTCCTCTCTCTTTCTATAATTCACATCTCATCAATGCACATAATGCACATTAATTCAGCCTCTTCCCTGGAGTTTTTGTGCTTTCTCTCATCACAGGTTTCCATGGATTGTGGTTCTATCAGGACGCTGGCCCTGCCTCCTGCTATAGACGTGGAGTTGCAGCAGCAAGTGTCAGCTGGGCCACGGTAGAAGGCAAGAACAGAGTCCAGATAGAACCATGATTCATGGAAACCTGTGTGGCGAGAAAGCACAAATAGTCTGTGGAAGAAACAAAGTTTGTGATGCACATTAATGTTTACAGTGATAGAATTGGGAATATCAATGGTGTTAGAAGCGGTAGGTGTCCACGCGGCCAGGCAGGAGTCAGGACCAGGGTCCAGACGGAACCACGATCCACGGAGACCTGCAAGGGGAGAAAACACAAAAGACAGACAGACAGAGAGCGAGTTTTAGTTTTCAAAATCAAGTCTATTTGCTTATCAGTTTTTCCCCCGTCTGTGCTTTTGTTTTGTTGTTTTTTGAGTTTCCAACCTTGTGTTCCGCCTCCGGTCCCGCCCCTCTCCCAAGAGCTCAGCTGTGGTTCATTCCGGGGATCACTAGTGACGGACATAAAGGCTCCGGAGTTCAGAGGCTCGTCGTCAGTCCGTCCCAGTACCCAAGCTGGTCTTAGGTGCTGTTAAATATCAGAAGTAGCAGCTAACCAGTTTTGCATGTTTTTTTTCCCCTGCAGTATCAGACCCACGGAGTACCACAGAGTACATGTGACTCGTTTGAATTGGACTCTGGTTATGGTCTCAGGTTTCCACAACAGACCTTGATCCGCCCCAGACCACAAGACGTCGGTGGAGTTCCCTTCCGACTCCAGTTGAGCCAGAGGAGCGCTTTCTGTTTCCCTTTTTCGCCTTTTGTTTTTTTGTGGGAAATAAAATCATTTGGCTATCAATCAAAACTGCTGTGCGTGTGCGTTTGGGTCCACCAACTACACCCCCCTAACAAACCGAGCACACACTTTCTCCTTCACTCCCTCCCAATTCTTTGCTTGAAAACCCTCTGTGCTCAAAAACACTCCCAAGACTTTCAGTCCCTCTTTCCCCCACTCACGTTCACCAGGCAGACTGGGGGCTGCCCGACCCCTCCACTGCCCCCCCAACAAGGCTTCACTCTTAGCCCAGTTCACCCGTGCCTTTTCATGTAATATAAAGCTTCCTGACCACACTTGACGTCCTCCTGGTTGGTGACAAACACACATATATCGTCTGCATAAGCAGAAACAGTAGGAGGTCTTTCGAGACTGGAGGACCCTGTCAGTGAGAGTCAACTTCTCAGCCTGCACAGCAAAGGTTCAACCACTAGGCTATAAAGTTGCCCTGAAATAGGACATTCTTGTCTTATCCCGTGCTGCACAGGGATTGGCCGACTCAGCCCCACCCCCGCCTTAACCAAACATTGAGGACCTATGTACAATAAACCCACCCAAGCCAGAAAACCATCAGCAAAATACCAAAAGCCCGAAGTGCAGAAAACAAATACAAGTGATCTACCCTGTCAAAGGCTTTCTCCTGATCCAGTGACACAATCCCCAGGTTTACATTGTTGTTCCTACACAAATCCAATATGTCTCTCGTGAAGAAATGTTGTCCATAATTTGTAACACCTAGACTGGGGCATTAGGCCACATGTTGTTTTCTGTTGTGTTTCTATCACTCACCTTTCCCTCTCGTTTCAGACACCTCCTCCCTGTGTGCAGCCGCCCTCTGTGATTGCAAGCCCCACCCTTATTGTTTCCACCTGTCTCGTTCTCCGGTGTATTTACTCTGTGCCAACAGCTTGTTCTGTGCCAGTTTGTCTCTTTGTTTCCAATGAGCTTACCCGCGATTCTTCTGAGTGTGCCTTCCCGTGTTTTGACCCTTTTCCGTCCCTCCGTCAACCTTTGCCTGCCGATTTGAATTGATCCACCTTTTCTGTCTGACTACCTGTGTACCGAACTCCTGCCTGAAGTAAAGACTATTTTTGCCTCTGACTACTCCTCCTTGAGTCTGCTTTTGAGTCTAGACCCTTGTGGCCCCAGCGGCGAAACCTAATTGTTCTGCCTTGTATGCAATATGTCTGGTCAGTATGTACTATCATTTCCAGGCTGACCTTTAGTTTGTTTGGCCTCCAGTTCTTTAGTAGTGCCAGATCTCTTTTCTTTGGC